CATTCTTGCACTCTTAAAGATAACTAGTTACATTTGTGTTGAAATCATAATTTTGTACATGTTAATAATCATCAATAAATTGTATTGGATCTAATAACGATATTATTTAGTTGAATGGATGTATTTTGTTAGGAACAAATGTTGATTGCTCTTAAGAGTTGAATATGTGACGCGGTAGTTTCAAACTTCGGGATTTTAGTTAATCACTTATCTATTTAAAGTCAGTCTGATCAACCGTGTCATATCTTCAGTCATAACAAAGCAAATATTATTCGAATCCCAGTAGTTCAACATATAATCAATTAATTAATCAGGCGGAATTACGACAGAAGCATTATAATTGAGTGAATATTGGAAAGGTGGTACATTTTCAAATGATTTTATGAAGAATGATTATTTATATTTTTATGGTATAATTACTAGACATTCAGGTTATTTTATTCTCATATTGTCCTATTTTTAATCTCTCATTTGGTGCATAAATAATTGTTACATATTTTATATTTCTTGTATTATTATCAATTAATTGACTGATGGTGGATCGAGAGTCACTCGAGGACCGACAGACATAAAGGCCTTCGTTCGCGAGACCGTAGGTCCTCGGTTCGAGTTTCGCGTACGGGCTTGTGAATGTACGCTGTTGAGGAGTCCTGCACTAGGATGAAACGGCCGTCCAGTACTTTTAGTTCCACGATGATGGTCAAGCTTAAATGGACTCATAAATTCAACTATTAAAATAATTCTAAGTATATTAATAAACAGTTTGTTAGCTAAATAATTTAATCATTTACTTTCAAATGAATCTTTCTCAAACGCAGCTCTCAAATGCCCTGGTACGGCCGAGAGTGGGGAGAGTTCGCTCTCCCTCTCAAAATACTCTAACAAGGCCACGCGTATATAGCCTCTGTCAGGGAAGTCCTACTCACTGCCTTCTCGTAGCGAGAGTGTTATTTATGAAATTGAGAGGACGTAAAGCGAATGTCCAGAGCTTTAACCGGGTTGGTGGACACAGAAAGTCCACCTAGAGGAGTTGGAAAACTTTGATTCCTGAGGAAACAAATGGCGTATGAATCAATCGTTGGTCACCGGCTACCATGGGACTGCATCTCCTTACGATGCTCCACTGCCTTGTGGATCAGACCTTTCGGGTGGAATGCTCCGGGTATGGTTCCCTAAGGAAACCACCTTTTTGAGTTTGGGCACCTGGGCAGTACAACAGCCCTCACACAAATCATGTGAGATTTGTGTGGCGCATATATATCTGATTTCCCCTTGTACCAATGTTTATGTGTTTAAATAATATAATAATAATTCTTAAATGTTTTTATACACACATCTACATATGAATAATGTGGAATTAGAAATTTCCCTAATTTAGCAACATTTGACTTGGATACTTGAATTTTTTGAAAACTTTACCAAATATTCCTATTTTTAAAATAATGGTTTTTTATGCACTAATATTTAGGATCTGCATACAGTTTTTATTTTACAAGGAATGGTTCACTGTTGGTACACTGGATAATTTTGAAGAAAGGAGGAACAAGAAGGCAGCAATCAATATCAGCCGAACAAGAGCAGAAATTCAAGGAAAGCAAAATAATCACGAACATTGAAGAACGACGGAACAGGTAGGTAGAACACTTCAAAGAACTCTTGAATCGACCAACTCAACTGAACCCACCCAACATCGAAGCAGCACCCATAGACCTCTCAATCGATGTTGGCCCACCAACAATTGAAGAGATCAGCATGGCTATCAGACAAATCAAGAGAGGCAAAGTAGTGGGACCAGACAACATTCCGACAGAGGCACTGAAAGCAGATGTAGCAGCAACTGCAAAGATAGTCCACATAAGTAAGTAAGTAATCTTTCCTCACTAAAAGTGACAATTAGAAGTTAATTTGACATCCCTGACTAAATTCAACTGATGCTGGGACAAAACACCTGTCAAACAGTGCTCCCAGGTTCTCGGTGATGATATAACTTAGATCAACTCATGTATTCAACTACTAAAATTACTACAGCCTCTATAAATCCTCATTCTGATAAGAAAATATTATTATAAACAAACATTCAGATTAGCTAAAACAATACTAAGAATACTAAATCTATACTAAACTTAACACATTACACATTCAGAAGGGGTTTTGTGGAGATTTCAGTATTTTTCATAGTTGAAACCCTGGGTTCGAATTTCGCGAGTTCAACATCGTGGATGTGCACTGCTGAGGAGTCCCACAATGGGACGAAACAACCGTCCAGTGCTTCCACGTTTTCGATGGTGGTCTAGCTTCAATTAACTCATGATTTCAACTATGAACATTACACATTATAAAATGTAAGATATGAAAAATGTTTTCATAGCTTACCTTTCCAATATGGTGATAAGATTAAACCAACACCTAATGTACATATTGCCATGATTACTGTAATTAAAAAACATAATAATCGAAAAATTGACATTTTTCCTTTTCTTCTAATTTATTTTGGTGTTTGTTTTTTGTTTTCTTTTGGGAGGGGGGGAAGTTGATGAACACCAAACAAAATAAAGTTAATTAGATTTTCTGTAATTTTCCTTTATAGAATTTTTTTCCTTTTTTCTTAACATAAATTTATAGAATATTGAAAATTATTTGATCGAAATTTGAACTCAAATTTTGAAAAATATTTAAGTAGAAGCCATGGCAACAATGATTTGTTTTGGTTTCTTCTTTTCTTTTTTTTCTTTTCTCCTTTGTTGGCAACAATTTTTATGGATATTTAGTTTCCACTGGATATATATATATATACCTATATCTATTCAGTATGCAAAATTTATGCAAAATAGTTATGAATGATTGAAAAAAAAGTTTTTTTTTCAATTGATGATTGTCTGTTTTTTTTTCTATTGGTGATAAGCGAAATGAGTACATGAGTGCACATGACCTTGAAAGGGAATAATCGAAATGGTTTTTATGTAAAAAAGGAAGTATATATGTACAGTAGTTTTGTATTGATTATTTTTGAAATAAATTGTGAAGTTGATTTTACAATCGATTAATCACTGGGTGATGATCAATGTCATGGTATTTCGAGTCCTTCTTAGTTTAAATCGAATTCTATCGACCATGTGATCGTGGATGCGCACTGTTGAGGAGTCCCACAACAGTATGAAATGGCCATTTAGGGCTTCAAGGTTTTCCATGGTGGTCTAGTTTCAATGGACTCATGGTCTCAACTAATAATAATACACAATAGTTGTTCTCTACATTATTCAAGTCATAATCACAATTCCTCACACTGATCATTTAACTTTAAAAAGTGTGTGAACGTTCCAAAGTTATTTTAACTCTGCTCAAAGGTCGTCGATGAATTATATTCTGACCGTCAAATTTTTTAGGTCTCTACACGAACCTGATCTCATTTGTTTAACAAAGACGAAGATAGATAATCAACATTGCTAAACGTATTATGCACAATGAAACATTGTGAATTCCTTTCTGCCATTCATTGATTACCTACTATGTGTTCACTGTGTGTGAATAAACCGCTATCTCTATTATCTGGTCTGTCTATGCCAAAAGTGATCTAGACTGCTAGTCAAATTATCTCGAACCTAGTATCGTAGTGTGATATGCCAAAATGTATTATCCAGTCTATTGTTTTATTGTATGAATTGCAGAGCATTGTTTTATTGGTTATCGAGTGTCGTTTATGTAATAATGCATTGAATGGATAGTGTATGAGTTATGCTGCTTCTACTAGGAAGGACACATAATGACTGACACGAAATATTTTCATTACTAACGACAGATCAGGGAAGCTGTTTCACGACACAACTGTAAGATAAACTCTTTGTGTACTAAGGATTCGAACATACTGAGTTCCGACATGGCAGAAATATCAACTACCGATATTTGAAAATATCATGGCAAAACTGAGTTACGTCTATTCGTGGGGTCGAAATGTGAAGAAACAGGATTTCGAATTGGAAAGGAAGTAGTCCTTCAAGTGTCTTATTTCTCTCAACATTTATACATTTGATATCACCTTGTCATGAAACTTGACATCTGACTTCATGTTTGCGCACTCCTACTTTCAATATAATGAGTGGTGCTGAGACATACCTCGGATTATTCCACTTAATGCTAGATATCAAATACTCCATGTATCTACAATAGATTGATCACTGGGTAGTGTTCAATGTCATGTGTGTCAGTTCGTTCTTGGTACAGATGGAATTCTATCGACCACGTTGCAATTTGACCACTAGTCTAGGTGACTCGACATTGCGTGCACTATGTTGAGATGGGATGGTGGTTGTGGGTAGTTCTTGGACCTATGTTTTGTGCTATCTAGCACTCGTCAGTAAGGTGTATCTGTAATCTTGAGGGGACTGATGCTACCTGACGGACTCGATCCTATATCACCAAGTTTCACAATCAGGAAGTTTACCACTGAGTTATCCGAGCTTTGACTGACTTCCTTTAGAGCTCAGATGTATTTATAATTGATTGATCACTGGGTGACACCTGAAACACACGACATTGATCACTTTTTCGTTCAAACAAATGAAAATTGAAAAGCAAAGTGAATTTATTTGAATTACGGGTATCTTAAAAATTCATCCATTTGTGGTGATACAGAAGGTAGCTTACTCTGGAATTACAATATGCAGGAGTAAAGCTTCTGAATGTGAAAAAAAGCTATGTCACTGACCAATGTGTGGACAGAAATGGATGTCGGTAGTAAACAGACACACAACTGGCAACGAAATAATTACTGGCAATAAGACATTCGCCAACGGACACTCCGGTCACACAGTAACAAAACGTGGAAATCAAAAGACATCAAGAATTATTCTGATATTCAAAGGATTGTTATTTTTAAAAGCTAACTTCAATTGGAAACAAACATTTGAATTAAGTGATTTCTACCAGTTTACAGGATTGATACGATATATGAAATTTAAAAAAGACAATTGCAATAATGATTGATTTCGGTACACAACAATTCTTCATGTTGTTCTGTACAGTGGACGTCCAGCGTAATTACCTCTGAAATCAGGTAAGAGAAATGAGACTTGAGTAAGTGAATTGAGACGATGAGACTAAGTTGATCAGTGATTTTCTCATATTGATTTATTATGATTATCATTAAAGTTGAAACATGCACACATATTCACACTGGTTACAATCAATATCATCAACAATTGTTGATGATATTCATGAAACTACTTGTAGATATCAGTAGGCAGATTATACGTAGAAATTTGAAAGGAGATATTCATCATCATGTCAAACACTGTGTAATATGAGTAATGGAAAATCCATTCTCATATTCATATGAATTCAATTGATTGTAAAATATGGAGAAATTCATAGTCACAAGAGTTGAGTTCGTTCAACAATGAGTACTTTGTTGATGACCACTGATTCATCGTCAATTACGTTACCATTCAGTTACATTCAGTCACGTAACTACAACAGATGGAATATGATTTGAGAGACTGACACATTTCAGTCCCAAACATCAATGGGAAGATTCAAACAAACAATACCAACTGAATGAATGATTTACGTTGGTTTACAAAAATAGGCAGTTGTTGTTACGGAAATAAAGATGCTAGGCAACAATTTCCAGGATAACAAATGTTTGTTTAGGTAGAAACGAGAGTTTTAGTAGGCAAATAGATGTAGAATGAATGAGCAATATTGGCAAACAACATCCAAATCGAACTCCATTACAAACAACATCTGATCAGAAAGTAATTATACAGGGAACGACAGGTCACAAATCAGTCAAGCAAATAGAAATGATCTTGATTATGACTTACCCAGGACCATAGTTACACACAATACTTAGTCCGTATGGGAAATTCGGACACTTCGTAACACCACATCCAACATCCGTAGTGTCTTCCCAAACAATCTGCAATGAACAAAAGGACAGTCAGCTAGTGAGTAGTGTGTTGGAAGAGAACACAGTTACATAAATCGTTCACATAAATCAACAGTCAACGATCACATCGATTCGTTGGACAGAGTGTAAATCATCTTTTTAACACAGACAAGAAGCGTGCTAACGAAAACTGCAACATTTCCAGTTTATGTAGATGTAAAAACGGATAGTTGGATACTACACGTAGCTATGTCAGACTGCTTCATAAAACGACCACAATATCACTACTAACCAGTGTCTATACGACTTTGTCTGAAGTAGTTACTTCAACAAGAATGCTTTGTTGTTGTGTTAATGCTTACCTGAGTATAATGACCACACTGACCCATACGACAGGTTCTCGTGTTGAAGTCATAATTCTTGTATTCGTTCAACCATGATTGAAATCCGCTTGATAGAAATGAACAAACAATAGCAAACAATCGAAACATGAATCGAAACATTTGGAAAAATGAGCAGTCAGTTACAAGAGTATTATCACATGTTTAAAAGCGAAGAAAAAGGATCTCACTACACAAGTGTGCAAGTCGATGAATATCATGTGGTTACCACACACTGATTGTCTGTGATGATGATGATACCCATCGACTGTGGATATTTGATTTAGTAAATCATAGTATATGAGATATTTGACTGTTCACCGTTTCCCTGTTACACACAGATGTGGGTACATTTTCGACAAGCATGTGAATTTCTGGATGCGAAATCCAGATTATCTCAACACACCAGCCACGTCATTGATGTATGTCGATTAGATCAATATAACACTTCTGTGAATGCAGACCACATGCTTGCAAGTTTGTGAGTTGAACACATTCATATATTTAACACAATGTATATGACACTTACGTTTTGATGTCTTTGGCACCGGCCCAATTCTGTCCAACATATTGGAATTTCGGTATTTTACGATCAGCATTTGTATCATGTCCAACACGACATTGATCAGACAGATTTTGTGCTTTCCTTTCCAATTCCACATTCCATTGCTGTGAACATTTGGTTAATTAATGAGCAAATCAATCGGTTATTCAGTCAATTGATAATCTTATTATTGTTTTATTTACCTAACATCGATGAGGCGAATGAAGTAGTATCAAATGTGACTCCTTGTCATCAGTGCCGTCACCTTGACGTGACATAATGAGGAGATTTTTATTTTGTCAACTAGTCAGTCAGAAACTGTAACAAATTGTTTGTGTGTTATGAGTTCATATGAACCATGTGAACGAAGTTTCTCTGACTATCACGCACCATTCTCTCCAACCTATATATCACTAACCACACTCACTCAAACACAAACAAATACACACCTAAGAACACTGTCTACAACCACACAATGATTTCGATCAGTGACTTATCTACTGTGCGACACATTACACCGACAACTTCATTTCAGTTGCCAAAAGACTAATACCTGTAGTCAACCATAATCAACCACCTTCTCTCTCTCTCTATCTCTCTCATCTTTGATCTCTGTTCACAGTGAGACTAGTTGAAACGTACACTGAAATCAATTTGTCTCAATCGAAACATAATTACTCAGAACACTCAAGTTAAACAATCATTCTACTCACCAGTGGTTTGATGGAGACTGCTATCGGTTGTCCGAAAAGCTGACCATTTCGAACAGATTGTCTTGCTTTATTGTGAAGAGTTAACAACTCATTTCTCATCACATCATCCAATTTCGCATGAACACAGCAACACGCAAGTAAACACAGCAACAACACGACCGATGAAAAATCGAAATTGGAAGACATTTCGATAAGACTAGAGTTTCACAGCTTATCTGACTTGTTTACTCACTTGTTTACTCTAACATATATATACACACCGTGAGATCTGGTCAATCAAAATAAGTCATGGTGACTAGACTAAACTGAACACTCATAAGTGTCAATTTGTCTTATGAATGTGAGATTAAATTGGTTTAGAATATTAATCAGTCATGTAATCAGGTATGAATCAGTAGGCTAAAGGGAGGTGTCTACACAAGACGATGGTATTGAGAAAATCCTGATTGACGTTTACTGATAGGTTTACTACATTAATGTGAGGATGATTATCAGTTTGTGGGATTATGATTAACGAGTGACTCATGCTTCGGGACAAAACACAACGTTGACCGATAGTTCCATGAAAATTTAATCAGATTTAGCTGTCTTATAATTAAGGTTGTGTAATGTGTGATCTGGGAAGTTATGTGAAGTGACGTGTTTGGTCGTTTATAGTCGGTTTGAGTTGATGACAGCTGACTGATTCGTCTAGTTGGATGCACGAATCGTGATACAATTTGGGCACTTCAAAAACCACCTTTCTCCCATTGATGTTGAACGGTTGTGGTTTGTTTAAGTCGATTGATGTCTTCGTGGATAAATTGAGAGTGAAATCTATCAACATGATTGCATGTGATTCGACTTCCATTTACTAATGTTCGTTTCACAGGATACAAATTCCCGATGAGATGTGGCATCGAAATTCAATGTTGATTTTGACTGAATATGTGGTAATTGTAGTATGTGTTACAGATATTTCTTTCTCACATATTGAGTGTCAAACAATTGCAAACTGAAGATATGAATCAACGATGCGTAAATGATTTTCTGTCTCATTTCATCACATTGTGTAATCGATAATTCAATAATATGCGATAAAATGAAATCGTTAATTTTGGAATGATCGACACCATCAAGTGAACACAAATTGGTAAACAGTAATAAAACGAGAATAAGTCTACCTGTGTTGATAAGTCGGGATTTCCAGACAACTTCGTCGTGCGTATCTGTGGGAAAGTAGATATTAACGTGTTGTATGAAAGTATTTTAGAACAGAAAGAGAATTGAAGGAGTGAGAACCTTTGATTAAGTTTATTCACATTCTCATATTCATACTTTCATTGTATAATTAGTAGATGACCCAAGTGTTGGACTTTTAAACTCATTCGACGGAAACTACTAACTGTTGTTTTTCGTTATGTCATCTAATAGTTATTGCTTAGGAGTTATATTTTGCTCATACACATCAATTTCACATATAACATTATCGTGTTTAAAGTTTGATTTCATGGTGTTGTGTTATGGGATCTGATAGTTCGTGTATATAAGCCAACACGTGTCTGAGATGGATTGTGTGCTGTTATGTACTGTCTGTTGGACTGGACTGAACTGACTGACTGTGACATATTATTGAGTGTATACCACTATGATATGCACTGAACTTTAACAAAATTTTTCATCGTTAGTAAATTCTGCACAATATATGATTGTGCACATTTTAGTAAAAAGATATCTCAACTTCGGAGTACCCTTTTAGTTATAAATTCATTGTTTAATTGTCTAATGAGGGAAGTATATCATGATTTATTGAAGGTAATAACAAGTCAACCAGATCAGAATGCATATAATTTGACAGAGATTGATCAGTTGCACTTCTTAATATAAGCATCGTTTCAACTCAAGTCTTTACGTATACATTCATACACGTGTTAAAAATTAGTGGCTGTCTGAACTTGATAGCTTAATAAATAATACTTTACGATTTAAAGTCATCGCTACTCCATTCTAGTTTTAATATGAACATCAACACTGGAGTTCAAATACCTCCAGTGAACTAGATCCAAATTGTTATATCTATTGAGTGCATTCTTGCCCAGTTGGTATATATGACGTTATGAGATCGCCAATCGGAGATTAGTGAATTTATCGATCAGAGCAGTGATACACAAAAGCCGTATGAGCAGTCTAGAGCACTTGTCGATCGTGCTTTCTGCCTAGCCCATTCAGTTAAATTTAGAAAACCAATAACAGCCTCTGCAATATGGATCATTATTCTCAAACATACTAGATTTATATATCAATCAAACAGACCACATCGTACCATAAAATAGAAAGTAACATTTGTACAAGATTTAGCTAAATGTGGCTTTGAATATGGGGGACTGTAATTAATAGACTTGGTATAACTCAAGAATGGTCAATCGTACAGTAATAGTCTATGGGTCAAAATAAAGCTCATAATAAAAAGAATATGAATAATCAAGTTACTTAACAATTATACAATAGGAAATATACATATCATATTGAATCAGTGGCTGAGTGGATAACGCGATGGCATTTGAAGCGAAAGGTACTGGGTTCGGGCCCCAGACTGAACATCAACTCTGAGATGCAGGTACATCCAGCTGACGAATCCCAAGTAAGACGAAACGCGCGTCCTGGATTCCACTGCTAACCACTGTCCATCTGCCCCCAAATGCACTGGTACGGCCGAGAGTGTTGAGAGTCCGCTCTCCATCTCGAAATGCTCTCATATGGACACGCGTATATAGCCTCTGACAGGGAAGTCCTACTCATTGCCTTCTCATACCAGGGGTGTTGTTTACGAAATTGAGAGGACGAAAAGCGAGTGTCCGGCGCTTTAACCGGGTTGGTGGATGTGGAGGGTCCACTTAGGGGAGTTGGGAAACCTTTATTTTAAACCAATGGTGAACATGGGCTTCAGTACCCTTGTGGTGTTGTCTACTTATATCTATATAAGTAGTATATGGTGTGGGTCACACATAGAATGTATTTTCGCAGAAGACCGATGAGGAAAGAACTGAAATGAAGCGCAATCGTTTGGAAAATGCATGAGCAATGGAATTAGAGAAGAAACAGTGAAGATTGAAACAAATGGTTGTTAATTTGCAAATTGACTGTTCATTGTTTGGTTATCAGAATTTACTGAGATAGTCTGTAATCTTTGCTTAAATACATTCGTTTGTCCCCAACCAGTGTTCTGTTCACAACACCCTGAGTGAACAAATGGCGTATGAATCAATCGTTGGTAACCGGCTACCATGGGACTGCATCTCCTCACGATGCTCCACTGCCTTGTGGATCACATCTTTAGGTCAAAGGCTGGGTATGGCCTCTTAAGAAGACCACCTGCTTCAGTCTGGGCAACTGGGCAGTATCACAGCCCTCACACAAATCAAATGCGATTTTTGTGGCGCATATATATCTGGTGTCTCTTTGTACCAATATTTATGTGTTCAAATAAATAAATAAATAGTCCTCAAATTTACCATTCATAATTCTCTTCGGGATATAACACAAATAAAAAGCAAAACGTATGTCATGCTTTTCTGTGCTAATAACGGTCCAGATGTATTATAATATACTTCCTCAGAAATTCAGTAGTTTTATTATCAGTAGTATATATTCATTTACACTTAATGTATTATATCAATTATTCATTTAAGCTAATTAACTATCTAAATCATCATAATAAATGAAGTACTTCAAGTGCAAATTAAGAATAATGATTTAATATTTATCATTAAATAAACATTAGCTAATTTGAGAACAAACAGCAGCAGCAACAACAACACAGGTTTTTCATTTTAACCATTTTAAAATCAATTTTGTTTTTAACTAGTCAATAATAAAAGTAAGATGAACTAAGTAAAGAAATGATGGGGAAGATTTGTAGCTGAAGTGGATGGTTTTGATGGAGTTTTATTCTCTGACCTAGATGGTTTGGTCGTGGAGCTTTCATTGTTTGAATTTCTCCACATGCAGTTTACAGCTTGTTGTGCACACCTTGATGTTAATTGGTTCTAGTTGACTTTAAATTTGTGATTGTTCACTTCTTTGATTTGGTTGTATTTCCCATTGGTTTAGTTTGTGGTCCTATGCTTGTGCATAATTTCTCTGATTGGTTTATAAATTGGATCGATTTCAATGTGCTTGTTGATTGCAGATCGTCAAAAAGGACGGGTTGGAAAACAACTACAAGCTGATCAACAACGTCTTCAATGAAATCAGGTTTACCATGGAACAGAAGCCAAAAGACAATCTATCATTCTTGGATGTATTAATCACCAGAACTGACACAGGAAAACTGGAGACTCAAGTACATCGGAAGCCGACCTACACAGATCAAATTCTCAACTTCAGTAGCAACAACCCAAGAGCTCACAAAATCAGCTGCGTACAAACGTTGTTCAAGAGGGCGAGGACACACTGCAACGCACTTGTGGCACGAAAAAATGGAGAAAAATACCTGAAGATCATCTTTCAAAATAAAGGATACCCAACCAACTTCATCGAAAATACCAGCCGCACAAGTAAAGTACAAAGTACCAATACTAGTGGTTTTTAAAAATCACTTAATTGGACTTTTAAAACATTTAAACCTCTTTTTAAATAAACCTACACAAAAGGTCGACCTACGGTCCCGAAGATGGTCACTGCGCCAACGGCGACAGACAGTCAGAAAGCAAGTGGACCCCAAGAACGTTCGTTACTAAAAAGGGGAGGTGTTGGGGATGTCAAATCCCCAGAACGTACTTGATAAGTGGCTTAATTTTGTAATTTTACTTTTAAAATTTGAATTTAGCTGTTTTCGCGCCAAACGCGCTCTTTTTTACCTTCACGTCATATTTCCCACTTGTAAACTATCTTAAACTCTATTGGTCCATTATTTCTTTGTGTGTGCTATTTATTAATCGTGTCCAAGGACAATTTGTTGCTGTATATATACTCTTGACTTTTTCCCTTATTTGATAGCTGTGCTTCTGGCTGCTACGGAATATAACTTTCCCGCTTCCAACTTGGACTTCCTACTCTAGTCAGCTGGGTCTGGGTTGCGTCAAAATAGCTAGCTTATCGGTCTCTGATTACAAGTGTTTGTTCCGTTCGCTACTAGTGAATTCGTAACGCTTCAGATATAACAATTGGCGACGAGGCTGGTGCAAATATGGATCCTCCAAAAGTGG